ATAAGGCCTGACTTGTTGCTTATGAATTTGGGCTCCTCCCCCCCCCCCCCCCAGCCCCCATGAATTGTGGATGGACGGTGTCCGTTCGCACCACCGTTCAGAAATCGCGTGGTTGAAACCATAACGTTGGTCGGTATTCACAAGGGAATCGAATCATTGGGTTTTCTAAGTGGTGCGAAATGGCACCGTGCACAGTATGGGACGCTGGTCTTTGAGGAGACGGACCACCCCAAAATCCAAAACGGCTGGTAAACAAGGTGGTACCAACTCCCAAAGCAAGGAGCCAGATCGCGGTACACTGTTGGAGCTTGATATGCGTCTCTTTTTTGAGGGCCCGTTTTTGGTTGGCTTTGAAGGGAAACCAACAGGAAAATCACCAAAGGGGGGTCCCCTCATCCTGAGACACACCCATAACCCATATGCATGCCAGCTCTTTGCGCCCAGGTCTGGGCGTCACGGATGGACCCTCCCGGCCTTGCTGTCTCAGCCCAAGTCGCCTAGTGATGCTGCTGCCTGGGTCTTCGACCGGTCGACCAGACAACAAGTCAACCCAAAACCTACCACAAAGAACATCTGAGTCAAAGAAGTTGCTTTGCCACGTCATTGGGAGGGGTACTTTGAGCAAGCGCCCTCATTTGGTCCACGCCCCAGAACCCCCTGCTTCCCCTGATTTACAGTTCCGCATCTTGGATGTTTCCAGCTCATCCTTGGAAGGCCTTGACGCGGTTGCATAGCATCCCTTGTTCTTCTTTGGTGAGTTGGCACCACAGAAATTCCAACCCAAGCCTCCCAATTCTTCTGCTGCTCAAGGGTAGACTCAAAAAGCTCACTTCCTGAGTTCTTGGACTTTACACTTTTTGGGAAGACCATTTTAAAGTGGTAAATCAAAAGCTTAGACTTTTTTGGGGCCTTTCACACGGGACGTGAGAAAGGCTCCTACTCACTGATCTGGGTAGACTCCTGACGCGCTTGCGCGCCTGGATTTCCTGGGTGTCCTTGCAGGCCGATTCGGTCTTCTCCGACGCGGGGTGGTTTTTGTTTGCCTGACGCAGAGCAGATGCGCCGTTTTCAGATGTTTTCGGCGACCTTCGAAGTTTTGCCTTCCTGCCACATTGCCATGGCACCTGTTGGAAAAACCCTGGAAGATCAGTGTGCTCTTGCGTTAGTTGCCATGGCAACGAAGGGAGAATAACTACTTGAACTGAAGGGTATATACTCCAGTTTATCCTGGTAGTGTTTTGGAACGCACCATAGTTCTGCCTATCACGATAAAGGTCCTTTGCTTGGGGGCTCCAATTCTTAATTCAGGTTTTGGAATTATAGTCAGATTTGCAGCTAGATTCAAAGAACAACGGCTTCAGCTGAAGGGTATGTACTCCAGTTTACTCTAGTACTAGTAGTGGTTTGGGAGTAGTGGAACCCACCATAGGTTCAAAGCGATACTGCTTCAACGGTTGTTTTTGTTTAGCACACCTCCGCTCAAATAACCCTTAGTTGGCGGTTTGGATTGGTGGGAACTGGGCATTTTAAGCCCTGGTTCTTGTAGAGGGTAGATGGGAAACCCCTCCATTTCCCCACCAAACCCACCAATTCAAGCCACCAATTCGAGGGGAAGCTGAACCTTCGCTGGGCAAAATCTCCAAGGACTTGGCCAGCCCCTGGCTCCCGGCCTTTAACTTCCAGGCGGGGTGAGGTTCCGCCAGCGAAGGCGCCGCAAGCGGAAGGAAGGAAGGGGAACATCCCCCAGCTTGGTGCCCTTTTACCGTTTCTTTTTTGGGGGAGGGCTCCCCTACTAAAATTAGACTACATAAAAAAGGGTACCCTTATTCTAACCTCTCTACTGGATGACCTAGAGGGGAAGGGGGGGATCAAAAGGAATTGGGGGAGGGAGAGTGGGGTGGGGGAATTTCTTGAGAATTCAGGTTTTTGCAGGAGTCACAGGAAATGTTTTCCCCGAAAGTTGCAATGAACCGGTTCCCAGGGAAAGCAAGAAGTCCCTTTCAAGCCATTGCCCCACTCTCCTTCCAAGAAGATTTCAACAGGAGCTGGGCTTCAGCCTGGCTTTGCCATGACAAACCCCCCAACCTTTGCATTTTGTTTGTGAAGGCGGCGTTTCGACCCCGTGTTCCTTGCGAGATCAGGTCGGAGTGAATCTTGTAGAAATGTCGACTTCGGCTTATGCTCAGGGTGGTTCCCTTTTGGACAATGCATTCATGGGGGATTCCTCGCATTTGTGGTGGATTCTAATCTAAGGTTAGCATTTGTGTAGAAGAATGGAGATCAATGTGGCCATGGGGCCCAACCTACTCCATTTTGGGCTGGATGAACATCCACTTGCCATTTTGATGTTCACCAGGGGTTTCCAGGGTTTTGACCCACAGCCATGTCTTTCTTTTCAGCCAAGGGAAGTCGCCAAAAGCCTGCAGAGCATCGCAAGATGCCCGGGTCGCCGGGTCCCGGAAACAGGGGGGAACACCGACAAGGATGCCTGGATTTCTCTGAGCTGGGGGCTGCAGCTGCCACTTGACGTACATGGAAGCTTGAAGCGCCCGACCTTTTCCGCGGGTTCCTGAGCAGTGCCAAGCATGTTAGCTTGGAAATGCGTCTCATTCGCTTTGCCACTTGTCTCAGTACAAGTAGCTGTATGTCAAGACTCGGGACTCATCCATCGCGGCAGTTAAATTTTATTTTGACTTCATTTGAACACGTGGGGTTACTTCAAGCGAGTGAATGAGAGTCGATTGCCCAGATAGGCGTGTCCTAACATGCTGAACCTCCTTTGCACGATGAACGGGCAACCAAAAGGAAGCCCGCTATGATTTCGCCCGGACGGGTGAAACAAACTTTGAGCCGTGATAGTCCCACAAAGGAACCAAATCCAACAAACACCCCCAGGACCCCCCAATTGCTGGCAAATATCCCCGAGACAGCCATTGGGGGAGGTCATTCCACAGACCATTTGCCAGCCATTGGGGGTCCTGGCCCATGTCCTGAATTGTTTGTAACCCAACCTTGTGAAGAGGTCAATGGGTCCGGGTACCCTGGCGCCAATGAAAACCGCGCGCAGCGGCTCGTTCAGGAGCCTCGGGTGCTGGCGCCGAGCAGCAAGGCAAAGTGGGCACGGAGGGTCCGAGCGGTACCGTTTGTCACTTGAAAGTTGGTGGGGGCCAAAACAGACCCCCACTCCAATTTGAAGGTTGTCCGCCCGCCATTCAAACGCCAGTTAAACACGCCCCCCACGTTTACAAAAGTCTACATTAATATATATATATATATATATATACACATACGTATACCGTATATATATATAATTATATATATATATATATGGCAGACAGGGTTCCGTTCGAACACAATTCAGGCTCTATCTGAATTGTGTTTTCCAAGGACACCATTGAACTCTATTTGAACAAACTGTTTGAGCGCCCTCCAAAGAGGCACAGTCATGCCGCAAGTTTGCAAGAAGAACACACACCTGGGTCCCAAACCTTTTTGACATCATCCCCAAAAATAATATATATATATATATATGTATATGTATATGTATATGTGTGCATGCGCATGTGTGTGTGATCACTGGCAAAAAGCGCAAGAGCCCCCTCCACCTTTCAAAGTGCAGAGTGATGATATTTGCAGGAAACAACGCGACCGGGACCACGTGCAACCGTGGCGACCTGTTCTGAATTCGGGGAACAGATTGTGGCTTAAGGCAGACACCATGAGCTGCCGGGCTAGGATCATCGTTCGGACGGATATATTTACGTTGGTTACGTGTGACCAAAACATTCTGAGGAGGACCAACACAGCCCTTCAGCTGTCACCTATCTCGACATCCATCACGACACCTGCACACCTGCACAAATAGCTTACGTACGATGTTGCTACGGAGGTGTCAATGAGCTTGAGGTTGTGCCTTTTCTTCTGGCCTACTCCGTTGGCAGACTGAGCAGACATATCAACTGGATTTTCCAGTGAGAAGAAGTGTTAGCGCCCTAGCCGGGCGGTGGAACTTATGTCGGTGTCTCGTGAAGTTGCTCACCGGATGTGCATGTCTTCATTGGCCGATGTGTCCGCAGTGGACTTGTGTGACTTGCAACGCCTGGTTTCAGGGCCGCTTCTTGTGATACACAGGAAATCCCTGACGAAGTCACCGGAATCACCCAAGTTGGTATCAGAGAAAGGGTTCGACCAACATGGAATCAACCCAAGGAAGCAACTGAATGTTCTCTTGTGTTGGATGTTCTCCAAGGAATCCTTGTTCTCTGGATGTTATCTAGAATCGACCAGCCTTGTTTGGATGTTCTCTTTTGTTGTGAGTTGGCGCCCATCCAAAGTCACTGGCAACCCCGCCAGGTCGTCGGCGCCTTTGAATGCGCAGGCCGCAGAGGGGGGTTCACCTAGGGACCTAGGTGTTGCTTCCCGCAGGATGTACCGCCTTTTTTTGTTGAGGGGCCCTGGCTATGTCAGCCGGCCAGGTTGATGTGGTTGCCTGTTTGACGCTGCGCTTTCTTTTCTTCTTCTTTTGTTTTTTGGGGGGGGGAATTTTTAAATGAATGTGGGTCAAAACCAATGGCACCATTTTGGGGTAGGTGCACCACCCATTTTAGAACTTATTTTAGTGGTTGGATTGGGATGTTCACTGGGGGCTAACCGATTTGGCATTTGATCCATGGCCAGATGGAGACCAACCAGGTTTTTCCTCAGGCGGTCTGATTGTTTTCGGTCACGAGTTTGGGGGATCCAGTGGCTCCAAAGTTTGAGGGGTTTTGGCCAAAGCACCTGGTGCCCAGGGAACGAGTGAGGCGATGAGCATTGCGGGGATTGTGTTTCAAGGGACCCCTCAAAATGGTTGGTTTCCTTTTGGTTTCCCAAAACGGGTACCATCAAAAAGGACACTCATGTGGGCGTGTGTCTTTGTTGGAGGGTACCATTTTTGGTGGTTTAAAAGAGAGTTCAAAGGGAACACCATTTGTGGGGCCGGTCCCCTAGTTGAAGCCACACCCATGTTTCCCATTCAAACAGCAGCCAAAAGGGGTTTCGCCATTTGGAAGGAACCCCATTTACAGCTTGGTGAATAAAGATGGCACAATTTGGACTTCAGCGTCCCCCTTACTTCGCGACAGATGGGCAAGTATTTTATCTTTGGTGCATGTTTTTCCCATTGGGCATTACACGCGCTCACTCTTTGTCACCAGTCCGGTATCCGCTGTAAGCATCCGTGAAGCCGGCACAGCATTCCACAAGCCATGGTGAAAGCGTACTTGACAAGGAACTGGGACTTCCTGTGGGCATTCTTCAATCTTCATATCTGTGGAAAGGCACTGCGCAACTTGATCTGCCTGTTTTAAGGCGAGCTCACCTGGGGGTATAACGAGCTCACCACGATAACGATCCTTTACTAAGGGTTCCCTTAATTGAGCTGATCCTTAGCTGGGGATTTGGATTGGTGGTTTGGGATTGAACCTCTGGTTCCTGTAGCGGGTAAATGGAAAACCATCACCTACAGTAACGGACCAAACCACAGGGCAACTGGAGAAAAGTTGATGAAATCTTCCATTTTAATAAGACTATGTTTTGATTTTCTACTGTTGGTTTCAGAGGGAATCTATCACTACTGGAAATATTTTTATTTTTCCAGGGGTCTTAGCCAAATGGAAGAATTGAATTGCAGACAAGCTGTTCCTCTTGTGGGCTTCGACTTGTAGAATTGCACTTATCTCCAGCCGGCAAAATGTGTTCGTCGCAGGCGGAGCGGAGCGAGCGGAGCACGCTGAGCCAGGTTGGACGTGCCCGGGGAATATGCGCGGTCTGAGATGCGGCCTTCCTTTTCGGGGAGGTCCCTGTTTCGGGCTGGCAAAAAAGAGGAAACCAAGGAAAGCTGCCGAGGTTTCCTATGTGAGGCAACCCCATGTCACAAGTTTGGCCTAAAGTCGCAGAGAACCATGGTTTGTACCTGCATTGGTTCCGGGAGGTTGGCCTCAAACCAAACCGCAATTTCAGCTTGCCTGACAAATGAGGTCCCAGAAATGGAGACGCGCTTGCCAACGGATGGTTATTGCCATCTGTGCTTTTGTTGTTCTCCGTTGGTTATAATTGGCGTCGAACCTATCACTGCGTGTTTTTTTTCGTTTTGGCCAAGACCCTTAAGCAACAAATGGGGGGTTCCCTTCCTTTGGTTCCCGGCAGGGAATGGCCCAAAATTTTTGTCGGTCTGAGTTTGGGGACTCTGGGGAGACTCACCGAAAGTCCGCACTGGGGAATCTCCAACTCGAACTTGTCCATGTCTATTGTTTTAAGCGTGGCTCTTACGAAAATGTCGCCATGCTGCGCATCATCTCAATCGTGTATAATATAGATAAATATATATATATATATATTATGGATACACTCGGATTAAACACACGACAGCCCCGTGAATGTATTTCGTCGTGAAGTCCGGTTTTGCCGAAATCATTGTTTTCGCGGCGATCCGGATGTCAATGAACGACTCCCTCCCTTTGATTCTGGACCATTTCAGCGGTGAAGAAGTCTGGGCAACGAGATCCAATCCACTCATTCGGAAGCGAGAAGTTCTCGGGACCCCGGAAATGGCAGTTCGGTTTTTCGGTTGCCCCGATTAAAAAAAAAAAAGAGCCAAGGGTTTCTCCTGGTGTCCCTTTAAAACCCCACCAGGGTAATGGAAACTCCGGAGAGCCCTGGTGGATATGGGAGTGTCCCCTCAGCCGCCGAATAGGACGAGTTCGAAGTAGATCCGGGGGATCAAACAAAAACAACTCGAGAGAAGGCGAGCGCCACCCAGTGGCGGGTTGTCAAGCACCGCATGCCAGGCGAGCTTTGGCCGGGACGGCGCGGGGCCAAGTGTTGATGCGCGTCTTGGTCGGTCCGGCTGGCAGGTCGATGCCATGTTCGACACCCAGAAGGGTTTGTCTTTTTTAGGGGACCACCAAAATGATGGTTTTTTCCTTTTGGTGTCCCTTTAAACCAGAAAACGGTACCCTCAAAAAGCACGGCACACACACACACACATAGGGGAGTCTCTCAAAATGGTTTCCCCGTCTTGAATCTTGGTTGGTACTTGAAGTTAAAGAGAAGGACACCAATCATTTTAGGGGACTTTTATTTTGCGACACAGGCATATCTTGCAGTGTCCTGGAACAACTGATTCACAGCCGCTTTTCACTGCTACATATTCCTCGGAAGGCATGGGGCGTGCCGAGCCATGATGTGGTTGTACGTCGCAGCACACAGGGTCGCTGTAAGATGGAGAGATGTAGGCTGCGCTCCGCCTACCGATTTGGTTGCTTTGGGTTTGCAGAGGGACTCGACGCCAAAAAAAAATCAGCTTAGCCTGGCGCTGTCCTAATCCCGTTGGCGCGGCAAGTTTGGCGGGAGTTTCCAGGACCCAATCGATTCTTGAAACACATCTGTGGGGACCAGGGTCCTCGGTGTTGTCTTCGCTTTCCCGCTAAAAGACTCCGAGTGGCTGGGCATTTGTTTATTTTTTATTTTTTGGAAGCCAGAGAGCTACAAACAGCAAGGAACACAGTTGCACTGGCTATATTGAGATTGGATGTTTCGTGACGGCTTGCATGCGTGCTTTGTTTTGTGCAGACAAGGGGATGTAAGCGGTATTGTTTTTGCTTCTTGGGTCATGAGTCATGTGTCAGCCGCGAGATGTGGTTGAGAGGCTTTTCTCCAGCCGCTGCTTACGAGGGGAAGGAGTAACGAGTTTAAACAGCTTCTCTGCAAGCTTGTGGCCAGCGGTGAGTGACGCGGCTTTCAATGCAATGGCGGAGAAGATACTGACTCAGTTCTGGTGCATTTCTTTCCCATTCAAGCAATCCTCACTCGGAATGCCACATGGGGGATTCCGATGCAGTGTCCCACTATGGATTGCAGTACGGATTAGGATTTCCAGCCCCCCCAACAGCTGCTTTTTGGATTGTACCTGAAATTTGGAACATGGGAGCAAGCAGTTGTTAGGGCGTGGTTCTAAGGATACCTTCCCCATTCTTTCCAGGGATCCTGCTTTCCGGAAACCTCCGGAAACCTAGAGAAAACGACTGTTTATTGGCAAGAACGATGGTTGAAAAGAATGGAGAGTGGTGGTTGGGATCCTTCCAGTTTGAACAACCCAGCCTTCTGCACAAAACCCTCGGCCCAGGTTTTATGCTTCCCTCGCCCACGAGCTCGATGCAGGCCAGCGGTATGGGTTGTTTTGGGGGTGTCCCAAATCGCAGAGCCCGCCATGATTTGTGTGTTCCCTTTGTTTTTTTTTGTGCGAAACAAGCACACAATGTATCCCATCAAAGCTTTTCTTCCTGCAAAATACAAACAATGTATAAAATCACAGTCAAAAGAAACACATTGATACATGTGGTCAGCTTTCATGTGCCTAGGTCGTGCTGGAACTAGTATGTCATGGCCTCTCGGAGACCCAGTCCTGGTGGTGAGGGTGGAGGTGGTGGCAGTGGCGGTGGAGGGGGTGGTCGGGGTGGTGGCGGTGGTGGAGGTGGCTGTGTTAATTGTTGTTCTTCCTGGTGGCAACAATTGTATTCAGGATTTGTCGTGCACTAGCGCGGCAGAAGTGAATTCAGATAGCAAGTGTTGAAATGGAAAGTGTCAGGTAGTGTCAGTCGCCATAGTGCCAAATTGCTGCTGCTACCTATAACAAGCTGCTTCTTCTTCGACCTTCCTTCAGCAATACGTAAAGCAAAAAACAAAAACATACTATCTCCAACAACTTAGTACTGCCTCGTTCAAACTTGCGTTTACTCAGACATATAGCGGTGCTCTTTTTTCCTTTTTTGGGGGGAGGGGTTTCCCTTTAGCATCAGCTACCCAAAGAAAAGTGCCGAGTTTCCCATGGCCGCTGTCGTTGCTAGGCGCATCCTCAGAGAGCACGGCGCTGTGCTCGCAGGGCCCGCAGGACTCAATGGGTGTGCATCAAAAAGGGGACCCTCGAAAATGGCTTCGGTTCTCCTTTTGGCTTCCCTCTAAGCCATGGTGCCACAGGGGTATCCTCAACACATACAGACACACACACAGACATACAGACACACACACAGACACACAGACACACACACACAGACACACACACACACAGACACAAACACTTCTTCCCTTTCTCTTCGTTGGCTGGGTTGGGGGTGGGGGGCGGTTGGCCTTCAACGCAATGCCGTTTGGGCCAAGTGAAAGAGAGCTGTAGGAGTGGAAAGATTTGAGGCCTGTTCCTGACTGCCCCAGTTGAGTGGGGAGGTTGCAAATGACAGGGCCGATTGATCTAAGAGCCCGTATCGTGATGTATCGCTTTTGAGGGTCTCCGAAAGGGTAACCATGTTGTTCACCCCCTAACATGGATGACAACCCTAGTGGTTTGTTTTCTTCCCAAGCTCCATTTGATGGAATAGCATTCGCAGGTGTTGCTAATACTTTTTGGCAACTTATGGGCCAGTTGAGACATAATGGGGTGGTCATCCAAATAGAGGGTCTTTGCGCATTCATGGGAAAAAGGAAGTCAAAAGAAGAACTCACTTCCTGAGTTCATGCACTTTAAACTTTTTGGGAAGACCGTTTTGGTGGTAAATATAAAGGTTTTTTTGGGCCATCCACTCAGCCAGTGAGAGAAAGGAAGGCTATAGCTCAGCTCACCTCTATCATTGGTATATCACCATGGTGGTTTGAACCTTAGAGACCACAGATTTGAAGGCGAAGATTCAGGTGACAAAAAGTGTGGGACCTGGTTTACTCCCCCCCCCCCCAACCAGCTCCGGCTCGGTGTGGCAGCGAGTTTGGATGTCCAAAGCATTGCTCTAGTCTTGCCAATACTTAGTTTCGTATCAGCACTTCCTGTTGGATTGCCAGTACTTCGTTTAGTATTGCCAGTGCTCAGCTTAGTATCAGCACTTCCTGTTGGATTGCCAGTACTTCGTTTAGTCTTGCCAATACTTAGTTTAGTATCAGCACTTCCTGTTGGATTGCCAGTAGTTCGTTTAGTATTACCAGTGCTCAGTTTAGTATCAGCACTTCCTGTTGGATTGCCAGTACTTCGTTTAGTCTTGCCAGTGCTCAGTTTAGTATCAGCACTTCCTGTTGGATTGGCAGTACTTCGTTTAGTATTGCCAGTGCTCAGTTTAGTATGAGCACTTCCTGTTGGATTGCCAGTACTTCGTTTAGTATTGCCAGTGCTCAGTTTAGTATCAGCACTTCCTGTTGGATTGCCAGTACAGCACTTCCTGTTGGATTGCCAGTACTTCGTTTAGTGTTGCCAGTGCTCAGCTTAGTATCAGCACTTCCTGTTGGATTGCCAGTACTTCGTTTAGTCTTGCCAATTGCCAATACTTAGTTTAGTATCAGCACTTCCTGTTGGATTGCCAGTACTTCGTTTAGTATTGCCACTACTTAGTTTAGTATCAGCACTTCCTGTTGGATTGCCAGTAATTCGTTTAGTATTGCCAGTGCTCAGTTTAGTATAGCACTTCCTGTTGGATTGCCAGTACTTCGTTTAGTATTGCCAGTGCTCAGTCTAGTATCAGCACTTTCTGTTGGATTGCCAGTACTTCGTTTAGTATTGCCAATACTTAGTTTAGTATCAGCACTTCCTGTTGGATTGCCAGTACTTCGTTTAGTATTGCCAGTGCTCAGTTTAGTATCAGCACTTCCTGTTGGATTGCCATTACTTCGTTTAGTATTGCCAGTGCTCAGTTTAGTATCAGCACTTCCTGTTGGATTGCCAGTACTTCGTTTAGTATTGCCAGTGCTCAGTTTAGTATCAGCACTTTCTGTTGGATTGCCAGTACTTCGTTTAGTCTTGCCAATACTTAGTTTAGTATCAGCACTTCCTGTTGGATTGCCAGTACTTCGTTTAGTATTGCCACTGCTCAGTTTAGTATCAGCACTTCCTGTTGGATTGCCAGTACTTCGTTTAGATTGCCAGTACTTCGTTTAGTATTGCCAGTGCTCAGTTTAGTATCAGCACTTCCTGTTGGATTGCCAGTACAGCACTTCCTGTTGGATTGCCAGTACTTCGTTTAGTGTTGCCAGTGCTCAGCTTAGTATCAGCACTTCCTGTTGGATTGCCAGTACTTCGTTTAGTCTTGCCAATTGCCAATACTTAGTTTAGTATCAGCACTTCCTGTTGGATTGCCAGTACTTCGTTTAGTATTGCCACTACTTAGTTTAGTATCAGCACTTCCTGTTGGATTGCCAGTAATTCGTTTAGTATTGCCAGTGCTCAGTTTAGTATAGCACTTCCTGTTGGATTGCCAGTACTTCGTTTAGTATTGCCAGTGCTCAGTCTAGTATCAGCACTTTCTGTTGGATTGCCAGTACTTCGTTTAGTATTGCCAATACTTAGTTTAGTATCAGCACTTCCTGTTGGATTGCCAGTACTTCGTTTAGTATTGCCAGTGCTCAGTTTAGTATCAGCACTTCCTGTTGGATTGCCAGTACTTCGTTTAGTATTGCCAGTGCTCAGTTTAGTATCAGCACTTCCTGTTGGATTGCCAGTACTTCGTTTAGTATTGCCAGTGCTCAGTTTAGTATCAGCACTTGCTGTTGGATTGCCAGTAATTCGTTTAGTATTGCCAGTGCTCAGTTTAGTATCAGCACTTCCTGTTGGATTGCCAGTACTTCGTTTAGTATTGCCAGTGCTCAGTTTAGTATCAGCACTTCCTGTTGGATTGCCAGTACTTCGTTCAGTCTTGCCAATACTTGTTTAGTATCAGCACTTCCTGTTGGATTGCCAGTACTTCGTTTAGTATTGCCAGTGCTCAGTTTAGTATCAGTTTATTGCCATCAGCACTTCCTGTTGGATTGCCAGTACTTCGTTTAGTTTGCCAGTGCTCAGTTTAGTATCAGCACTTCCTGTTGGATTGCCAGTACTTCGTTTAGTATTGCCAGTGCTCAGTTTAGTATCAGCACTTCCTGTTGGATTGTACTTCGTTTAGTACAGTGCTCAGTTTGTATTTAGTATTGCCAGTGCTCAGTTTAGTATCAGCACTTCCTGTTGGATTGCCAGTACTTCGTTTAGTATTGCCAGTGCTCAGTTTAGTATCAGCACTTCCTGTTGGATTGCCAGTACTTCGTTTAGTATTGCCAGTGCTCAGTTTAGTATCAGAGATTGCAGTACTTAGTTCAGTCTTGCCAATATTAGTTTAGTATCAGCACTTCCTGTTGGATTGCCAGTACTTCGTTTAGTATTGCCAGTGCTCAGTTTAGTATCAGCACTTCCTGTTGGATTGCCAGTACTTCGTTTAGTCTTGCCAATACTTAGTTTAGTATCAGCACTTCCTGTTGGATTGCCAGTACTTCGTTTAGTATTGCCAGTGCTCAGTTTAGTATCAGCACTTCCTGTTGGATTGCCAGTACTTCGTTTAGTATTGCCAGTGCTCAGTTTAGTATCAGCACTTCCTGTTGGATTGCCAGTACTTCGTTTAGTATTGCCAGTGCTCAGTTTAGTATCAGCACTTCCTGTTGGATTGCCAGTACTTCGTTTAGTATTGCCAGTGCTCAGTTTAGTATCAGCACTTCCTGTTGGATTGCCAGTACTTCGTTTAGTATTGCTAGTCCTCAGTTTAGTATCAGCACTTCCTGTTGGAATCCCCGACCCCCCTCCCCCAAAATAATGAGGGACAAAACACATCGTACCCAAACAGTGCTCCTTAAAGATGATCATGGCCCCTTATGGTTCACCCCTTTTTATAATGTTTTTGGAGGGACGTAATATTTTAGATATTTGTGGCCCAAGATCAAACCAGGCACTCTCAGACTCAGGTTTGGCCTGCTTCCTTGCGCAACAGGCTAAGATTTGAGAGGGAAGGAATCAGTTGTCCATATTGTGTATTTTGCTCAGATTGTTTGGAACGGTTTGATTTGACATAGAGCATGACCCCCAAGCAGTGGGGGGCTCGTGTTTAAGCCGAGGAAACTTGACGTAATTGAAGGTCTCCATATTGCACCAGCTGCCCCAGCACATGTGTCCTTTCAGGGACCAGTGCTGGATGTTTTTTTTTATGCCTGGAATTGACTCTTGTGGTGGGCCCCCTGGCTGGTGGCATGTTGGAACACCCAGATCGTTGCATTTGCGTGCTGAAAGCGGGCCTTCGCAGGATGAGCTCGAGATGGAGCGAGCGCCTGGGCGACAGAAGGAAGGGAAGCAAGCAACTTCCAGAGCGGAAGGTACTTGTACGGTGGACTCCCCAGGTTGCCGTCTTTCTGATTTTGCCCCTTTTTGGTGACTTTATTTATTGGAAAGCCATGGAAGCCAAGATGAGTCCGTCTAGTTTGCATTCAAGATGGTAGGGCAGATTATAGTTTCAGCAAGCCAGCCACAAAGCATAGTAAAACGCAGAGTTTCCACCGTAGTGGGTGCGTGTCAATACTGGTTGGGACTTTGTGCTGCAGAGGGAAACCAAAACGAAGCTTCAATGTATGACGCCATATATGACCCTTTGCTATGAATCCTTAGCTTGGTGAATAATCCATGGCTTGATTGCGTGCAACTGTTCACAGCCAGGGCTCCCACATGACAGGCATCTTTGGCTCCGCGCCGCCTTTTCATTGTTCCACTGCGTGGCCTGCACCGTTTACCTTGCAAAAGGATTTTTCCGGAGAAATGTCCTCCAGCTCCCCCCGCCATTGTAGGGCTGCAAGCACTCAACTTTGTCAACATGTTTTTTTTTTTTTTTTTTTTTTTTTTTTTTTTTTTTTTTTTTCCGGTATTGCACTGGATGCCATGCTCGCTGAGGATGAACCGCGCCCAACGACAGTCATGATGCGCAGCTTGGCCTCAGAGTGAAATGGGTGTGGGACCCAAAATGGAACCCTGGCAAATGGACGAGTCGACTAAAACCTGCAGTCCCCTGGCTCCTAAACTTTGAGCCACACTCTAATCCAATGAGAGATTTGCCAAGAGTGCCATGCTCAAAACACGGACCAGTTACCCTGTTGATTGTCGCCCCTTGCCTGCTTTATTTTTAGTTTTTTTTTTGGCTGGGTTGCTCAAAGCATGTGTACCCGAAAACGTGTTCCCTGAATCCAACTAGAGTCACGGGGCAACTGGGTGGAAAGGAGTAGAGAAGCGCCTCTCCTGACAAGTCACGAGAAATGCAATTGCAACACGTCGTAGTTTCTGTGTATGGGGTGTTGACTGTGCGCATGTGTTGATTGCCGTGTTTTGTTTTGGTAGTGTGATTGAGTGCTTGTGTGTTTTCTTTGCGTGTGCTGCTGTTATTTACAAACCTTTCGCCTCTCGCGAAGCGTATTCAATTTGGCCTGTTGTAGCGTTCGAGTTTGCAGGAGCCTTGGCGCAGACTGCTTCATGGACGGCTCTTGTCCCTCAAGGTTTGTATCAGGGTCCTTGGAAATTGCTGGGTGACCCACTTTCCCCAGAAACTGCGCGACTGAACATTTTCGAGTTAGGAACCTAAGAATGTAGACGGGAATGCCCGCCCGAATGGTAGGTGGACATCAATCCTGACGTGAATGAAGTCCTCCGAGAGGTCTCCCATTTAGGTCTTACACATGTATAGCGCCGCGTCCCTTCCCCCCCCCCCCCCTCGCCCGCCACCCCTCCATCCTGTATCCAAGTTGCCCAGTGTTGCCCCAGTTTTCTTCTGATGGGGGGTGAGCTTCAATTCACGTTCACCATCATTATCCTCCTTTTGCTGGCGACTAAGCCACAACTAGGGAAGAAATGGTATCCTTCCCCGGGCATCCATTGTCCCAACACTGGGGATGACGAAACAATTCACCATTTCTTGTTCGAAAATCCAGCGGCAGCGGGTTCGGGCAAACGACAAAAACGTCTTAGCAATATGTAGCTTTTCGTGATTCCATCCGGCTCGGTCACCAAAAGTTGTCTTGATGGCTCCCAGCCATCCCCTTAGCTTTTTAGCTTTTTAGTCTTTAGTGGGGTTTTCCATTTAACCCAAAAGTTAAGCTTTTGGCGGGGGATTGAGGATAGCCCAGTTTTGGAGAGCTTTTGGTTGGAAGATCCCCCATGAGTCCCTTCGGGCATCCATGTCCTTGACTAATTCGTCAGCTTTACTGTCAGGATCTCGATGGGCTCACACGGATTTTGAGAAACCACCAGCCGTCGAAAGAGCAGCCCAAGATCTGCAGCTGTGCAAACCTGGGCCCGCCTCGGGGCCTCGGGCTTCCTTTCACTTCCGCGAGGCAATATTCCCAGTGAGTTTACTGGGCGGATGCTGCTGACACTTCTCAACATCAAGGGCTTCAAGGCTCGATGTCGGAGACCCCAAAGCTTTCAGCTGGGAAGGTGCCTGGGGCATGTGGGAATGAACCTTTGGACCCTTCCCTGCACTCTCTGAGTTGGACTTTCCTACTTGGCCAGCGCATTTCAGTGGCGCAACCCGCGAAGTTTGGTTGGACGTTTTGGGCCAACCCACTTCAGGGCTATCCTCACCTAGCATGTCTAAGCAGGGCTCTGAGCACTTCCGTGGGAGAGTATGCAGCCTGTGCGACTGGGTCAGGGCCTCTACGACTTGGTCTACCTTCCGCCACCTGGCATGCAAAAGGGACAACTGGCGCCGAAGTGTGCGAATTCATCCAAAGGCAAAACCCGCCCCTCTTTCTGTATTGACGACGTAGATGCTGGGAATGGGTCCGATTTTTGTTTGGGAGATGGTTCCCAGGCACTGCCAGTGATTCTCAGACGTCCAACTTGTGCCCTCAAAACGGGTAGATGCGCTCAACCCGGCTTCAACTCGATGACCGGAATATGTTCCAATCACTTCCCCTCCATTTGCCAGATTGCTCTTCAAAACTGTCCAACACCAGAGTCAGATGGGAGGTTTCTGCAAATGGTGCCGTTTGGTCCCAATGTCTCAATCGCTTTCGAAGGCGGCGGCACGTATGCCACCACTTCCGAAAGGGCCGGGACCTACGTTTGTTCCCCCTCCCCGCCCAACTAATGCTACAGAGGCATTTGCTCTAAAGCTATGGTTAAACACGGATATCACATCATTATGTGTAGGAACATTGCGATGGCTTCACGTGGAGCGTGCCGTCTTTGTTTTGCACGGCACGGTTGGATTCTTGGGTGGACAAGGAGTCTAGGTTTGTGCGCATACGACAGAAGCCGACCAGAATCAGAAGTGGAACCAGCAGTTTGATGCTGTTCACATCAGCAGCACCAAACCTTTTTGGACCATGTTTGCATGAGATACTTAGTTGCCTGAAGGGACTCTTGGCTAAGGAGGTACTTTATCCCCCTTTAGTCTCTGCAACTGTCCTCAAAGGGCACTTGAACCCTTTGGGTTCGGGAATCGTGTGAGTTTTGTTGACAGCTGTTCGCACTTACTTGTGACCGGCATGTTGGGCGCCCAGGATGGATTACCACAACAAGGCCTGGGCGGAGCGGAAGAAGTGCGAGGACTGTTTGGCTTCGGCATGCTGCAAGCTCGAATCGATCGTACGATGACAGAAAACAAACACCATTTGTGTCTGGGTGTGTGCCAAAACAGGGACACCCTGAAAATGGTGGCTTTGGTTTCCAAGCCTTCCAGGAATATCCTCAAAGAACACACCCGTTCCTTGGATAAAGGAGTCTATGCCGGATGCAGGCCCCCCATGGGGTGTGGGAGTGGCAACGCAACCGGAAGAACATGTCTTCTTTTGGGGGACCCCCTAGATGGTGGTTTTCCTTTTGAAACTTAGCTTCACTTGAAAACCACAAAAAGGGGTACAGCCATCATCGCTCACTTGGCGATGATGGCTTTCCATTTCTGCATATATATATATATACACATGTGTGTGTGCATTTTGGGGTACCCTTTTGGGTTTGTTGTAAGGAATTCCCACATTTGAAGACAAGCCCATTACAGCAACTGACCATGTTGTTGGTACGTTTAGTGAAAGCATCGGGCAAGACAACACAGATGTCCATAAACTAGATGGTAATACCAAACACTTGCTTTCCAGAAACACTGTCCACACTAGGCAGATATCATCACTTGCAAGTTACTACTCGGACTCGGTGTGACCAGCCCGATTGTAAAATATTGGTGCATGAAGTATTACAACCACTTCGTTTTGATTTGGAAAACTCCACTTGGACTACGTTTGAAGGACAGCATGAAAAAAAGAACCGCCAGTCTGGCAGTCAGCTCATCAGCACAGTGACGGCGTCAGACAGTAGGACCCCCCGCACAAACCAAACACCTGGTTGGTGTTACTCACCACCTGAGGTCATTGACTTAAAATACTCTTTGAGAAAGAAAACAGTTTTTAAGTGGGCGACAAGTTGGACTTTGTTGGGCCAATGCACTTGTCAAGTGAGGTTGTACTGATCTTGTTTCGAAACCGTCGTCCAAATTGGTTCCTAGTTGCAGCCACATGCTCAACGGCTTCACCACGTACCCAGGGAACCCTGGTGTTTCCCTGTTGCGCAAATTGTTATCCCTTTGTGCAACTATTCTGTCATTTTGTATGGAGGGCTTTTTAACCTTTATAGAACCTTTATATGGGGTTGTGTTTTCTAGGGCACTCTTTTTGGGGGGTTGGTTTAAAAGCAACACCTAAGTGATCATCACTTTGGAAGGTCCCCAATTTTACACATACTTGTTTTCGCCATCGATGAGTTCTGCAGGTGGGCTTTGGCTACGCCTTCATCAACTTTGCCCCGCGCCTAGAGGTCTGTTGCAAAAGCCTCGCCGCCAGGGCTTGAACCCCTCGGATGTGCAAGAGCGGAAGGTTTTAGTTGTTCCCCCCTTGGGGTCTGCTCCCAAATTTCTGGAACACATGCGGGGGCAGGCTGAGCACGAAGATTGACCTTACTGTGGATGGATGCAATCCTGCACCATGAAACCGTGGTTGAAACCATTATTGTTGCTATTTACACGGGAATCCTCAGAAACCGGGGGGTTTCTTGGGGTGATGCGAACTGCTTTCCCCCATCCACGGCATCTTTGCTTTTCCATCTCGGGATGGTCTAGGGAAGCCTCGCAGTCCAACTTTTTCGCAGACACGACCCCGGCGCGCAGCCTTCAAGACGATCCAACAAAGGAATTCCCGCGTTTTGAGTCAGCCCCGCTTGGGTATGCGACAAAGAAATGTGAACCTTCTGAATCTAGCCTTCTGACGATGCCTTCTCAGGTGGAGGCGGATCAGGCGCAGCACTTCCGGGCTGCCTTCGAGGGTTTTAGAGATTGGCAGGTGGCACCTTGACTGAAGGCTTCGGGAGGGCGCCGTCAGCGCGTTTCTCAACTTGGGCATTGGTCAAAAAAAAAAATGGGCGCTCAGAGATGGATCGTTTCTCACACATGCTTCGAGATGGATGGTTCTCACACATGATTGGCTTCCTTATGGGAAAATGGCTCCTTCTGGTTTCCTGACGAAAGAAGGGGGTCCCTTTCGCTTAGCCAAGAGTTGCAAGGGTGCCGAGCCTCCAACCCCCGCGCGTCTTTTCGTTTTCATTTTCCCTTCAAGTGCCACAAGACACAGACTGCTGACCCCTACGCTGGGGTCTTCGGAGCACCCCTATAGAAATGGTTGGAACTGCGGGGTGTTGGGTGGGGAGTTGCTATTGATTTGTAATTCGGGTGAGGTTTAGGTTTGTGTTGTTTCTGTAGGATGTGTGTGTGTGTGTTGCCGTGCTGCTTGCTTGGCAACCTGTGGTTGTGTTGGATTCTGTTTGGTATGTTTGGCATGGCTGGGATGTTCTGCATAGATTCTCTGCTTGCTTGATGTGTTTGCATCTTTGCGTGCATGTTTGTTGATTTGTGTGCGCGGTTTGCATGGTGTTGTTGTCCTTGGTTTTAGAGTGCAACAAGTAAGGAGCACCTTGAGGTGAACGGTCAGATGCGCCCCAAGATGATTGAACACCCCAGCTCGTGAAAAGCCAGTATTGCAAGCTCTTGGCCATCAAACACTATCTACAAGGCCGGACCAGTTTCTCTCCAACGTCCAGCAGTCATTGGTGGGTTCAACTCTTGCGCAAATTGGAGTCACCAGTTCGGTTGGGACCTGTGTCAGTCAAGTGCTTGTGCTTGGTTGCTTTGGGTCAAGTGCACATGCACAAGGCATGAAATTCCAACGGAGTGCCACCTAATGCAACCTCGCAACTTTGAAAACACATGTTGAGCATGTTGCTCTCCCTCAGGGAGTATGGCCATTTCTTTTTCGCAGACATGAGCGCTTTGGCATGCTTGCAGATAGAAACATGCACCTTGAGTTTGAAATACCATACTGTGGATGGACGAATTTCTGCACCACTTGGAATCCATGAAAAACCGTTGTTTGTTGGTATTTACAGGGGAATCATCATTCCCAAGGTTTCTTAGGTGGTGCAGGATTTTGTCCATCCACAGTATGAGGACTGCCAGGCGCTTCCATGCCATTGACTACCTTGGGGCCTTCTAAGCTGTGATTTTTGCAGCCTGTTTCTGCCGTTGGCATGTGCGGTAAGAGCTCCCGTGCGGATTTCTCAGGCGCTCTCAGCCAAAACATATATAGCGACATGAAGCCACTTCTGAGTAATCGTTTTTGGGATGAAATTATACACAACATAGTGTGTGTGTGTATATATATATAATCGTCAGGTCGCCGGCACAGTACTATGTGTCCAGAAATTCGAGCCAAGTAACTAGCGGAAGTCAAGATATGTACAAGCCGTTTGCTGACTCTTAGATGAAACGGCTCATGATGAGCCCTGATTCAAGGCTCGTGAATCAAAGCGCTTCCATGCTGGTAATTAGTACTTTCCCTTGCATGTGGATAGGCGAAGTAGACCCCTTCTTTGTTGCTATTTGTCGGCCTCTTCAAAGGGATTCTGGGAATTCCCACTGGACAACACCCACATTGCTGACCGCACGTTGTTCGTTCTTGTCCAAAACTCAAATCAAAGCAATGAACATCTGGTGCGTTTGGTCGAAGATGACGGATCCCAGATGTTCTGGAAACAGAGGCGCACCCTCAAGGAGGTACAATCTTCCCCAGAATTAGTTCCCCTTTTTCCTGTTTTGCTTTTTTGTGGTCCCCTTTGTTTTCCACTAACCAGGCAAAAAAGATGTTTTTAGCTGGGGTCCTATTTCCAGCCAAGCAATTAGGTGTGTGCCGTGTTCCCATCCATTTTGTCCTTCTGCGTCACAAAGTCTTCCAACAGACGCTCTGAAAATGGGTATGTACTTCAGTCGAAACCATTCTGTAACACCCAGTGATCAGAATCTTTGGTCACCTTGTGGTGAATGGAAGCACCGGGATAGATGAGTTGCTTTTTCGGGCTGATTAAGTAGGCGTCCCAACGCTGCCGTCCTCCCATCCTCGGGGTTGGTTGGACGCCAATTTGGCGCTCAGGAGAGTGACAAGGCGGGGAATCCTCCGGGTTGTGTCGCGGGAAACTAGGGGATGCGTGCTCTGAATATTTGGCTAGGTCCCCCAGTAGTGCCCTTTTACCCTTTTTGGGACGGAGGGTTCCCCTACTAAAATAAACTGCAGAAAAAAGGTACCCCTATTCTAACCTCTCTACTGGAGGACCTAGTTGGAGTTTCTCGAACTTGGAAACCTCTTTGTGACTGATGCAATCACAAGAAAAAAGGCCAAAGATGTTGTGTCAGCGAGGGCAGATGGGTTTGAACAAAGGCCATGGGCCTCCTGGAAGAGAACCAGCAGCTTGTTTCAACAATTGGCTATGGGTCAAAAATGCGTATCCAAAATGGAACCCTGGTAAATGGAACCAAAGACTAACACCTGCGGTCCCCTGGTGGTTTTATTTTGACCCATACCCAATTGAAGATGTTGAAACATGTGGTTGGCACAAATCCTGGTGCTTCTTGAGGGCTTTGGGGCCCCAAACACCTCCCAATACCATGTCCGATCGGGGTGCGAGTGGCTCATACGAGTGGTTTGTGCCATTTGCCCGCCGCAATCCCCGAGCGAAGCAACTATTACGTGGCTGTGTCAGAGCGCAGTGACCGAAAATGATGATGTGCAAGCTGTAATGTTGACCTTGGATGAATGAACTCGTCCTAGTAGTAGGCATGGTGTTGGCCCCAGAAGTGAAGGATTTCTACTACAAGGAAACCAGGGTTTATATTTACCTAGAATGGGAAGACGGGTGTGGATGCTGGTATAGCTGTACGATCAAACGGCTGTAGACGCCCACAGAAAGGCATGCATGCTTTTGGACAGGTCGACCACGAAGATAGCAGCCGTAATGTTGAAGGGGATCAGCCTAGGTTTGACGGAACGATAGCAACCTCTTTACATAGGTGTCTTTTTGGTTGGTTTGCTTAAAAGATAGAAGGCCCTGGTTTACCTGGTGGTTCAATCATCCACCAGGGCAATCTATGTTCCAAAAAGGGCACCTATGCCTCCTTACGGATGAACTTACGATGCTTGCGGATTGTTTTTTCTTTGCGCATTCGATTGAAAAGCACACCTGGAACCTGAAGACACAGAAGCGAGCTTCCGGACTGAAAATCAAATGTGATGCTCAAGAGAACTTCATGTGTTTCCCTCGCCTTCCCTTCAAAGACCATCATACTCAAGCAAACAAATCGGCAATGTTGCTGGGTGCCAAACAGACTCTTACCTTCTAGACTAAAGAGAGGTTGGACAGTAGGTGTTGAGACTTCCTATTTTACTTTCAGCATGTAAGGGGACACGACAGCAGGAAATCGCATGAAACCATCTTGACACGTTTCACAAACGCAGCCAACCAGGCTGATGTTTCTAACAAGAACGCTCCAGGCTGCTCATTCAGGTGGTCCGTCGCCTCCCTTTCAACGGTGTTTCTCGGAGTTTCGTGGCCTCTTTCATGGACCCTACCCCTCAACCATAAAAGCCTTGAATGGCTTTTGCCCGATGTGGCCTTTGGCCTTTGGCCTTGTTTGCTCCAAATGGGGTGTAGCGGTCTGAAGGGTCATGGGCTTTTTTGGAGCTTTGAACTGGATGGTCCACTTCCCACGTTTCTGGATGTGGGTAAGTTTCTGGTCTGGTTTTTTGGGCTCACTACCCTTGTTGGTGCTGGCCTTACACGGGAACTTTAGAGGAACACCATCTATTATGTTGGTCCTATTTGGAGACCGACCCTGTCACTTTACTTGGTGAGTGAAATATTTTAGTGGTAAACAACTACAAACCTTGCGGCCAATCCACTCAGCAAGGCAAAGCGGGACTATTCCCGTGCCCATCAAGAGAATGACGAGACCTAAGTGACTAAGTGCCCTTTTAACCTTTTTTGGGGGAAGGTTCCCCTACTAAAATAGACCACAGAAAAAGGGTACCCTTATTCTAACCTCTCTACTGGAGGACCAAGATGAAGAAGTTCGTGGCATTGACTTCCACACTGATGTTTCAGCCTTGTTCACTTTTCACCCACTGAGCCCTCGACGTCAGAAGCTCCATGCGCCTGCCTAATGTTGGCAGCCTCTTCCAGGTGAGTTGTTTTGTTCAATTACTGCTTTGCCAGTGTTGAATGGATATCAGGCGCTCGGTTTTGGCGCCCATTACATCCCCAGACTGGTGCTAATCCCCCCAAAAGCCGCCCGCCGGAGGTCTGCGAAGTATGCTGGAGTAACGTGCTGCAGGGCGTGGCAGCGCATGTGGAGCGCTCCTCGCTGGCGACCTAAGTCGAGGCCCACTGAAGATGGTACACAGAACTGACCAAGATGAGACGCGTTTTTTCCGGTGTGTGCTTTTTTGGGCTTGGTTGATTGAAAGGGAAACTAGGTCCCCCGGAAGTGCTCTTTTGCCCTTTTTTGGGGAGGGTTCCCCTACTAAAATAGACTACAGGACAAAAAACAAAAAAAACATCGGGTACCAACTTATTCTAACCTCGCAAATCTGGAGAACCTAGAAAACTAAAGGGACCGTGCGCTTGGAGGCCCGCGTCCCACTCATTTGGAGACCAACGCATTTAGCTTTGAACGTGCCCACGTTCACTGATTCACCCTCGTCCCTGTTTGGACCATTCAGTGGCCGGTTGTCTAGCCCCCTGCCTTCTGTTGTCTGGGGGACAAACAAGTTCGCGTCAAATCGGGGGCCAAGTTGAAATGAACAACGAAAACGTCCATGAGCCCATTTGCAGCAATTCCGTCCCCAATGCATGACATGGCCGCTCGCTGGACATGAGTTGCCGGGCCTCTCCTTTTGGCCTCATCCTGTGCCTTTGGGAGACCTTTGTAAAGCTAGTTGAAAGGGCCACCAAAACGAGCACCCCCCCATCGTGACACATGGCCATGGTTCGAAACCAATGGGATCCCATTTTGGGATAGGTGCACCACCCATTTTAGAACCTATTTTAGTGGGGATTGGGATGTCCACTGGGGGTGCGGGGTTTTGACCAATGGCCACATACCCGTGGGAGTAGCCCAAGACAAGTCTTCCCCTTGACTGATAGGGTCAGAGACTGGTTTTGCTTTCGCATTGCCGGTCCCTAGGTCTCGCAGGAAACGGATTTTGGCGCAGAGCCATGCATTTTTTCTAAGCCGGCTGAATGTTTGTCCAGCCTGCACCCCACTTTCCCCAGAATGGGACCCAATTTTCCATGTGGGTGTTTAGCAAAATGGGGGCAAGCATGTTTAGCTTGCTTTCGATCTCCCTTCAATACCACTCCAACTGAGTTTCCAAAAAAAAGACGCCCATGTCCTCTTGTTCTGAAAGCACCAAGGGCGGTTATGCACAAGGCGGTGGGTAGTTGAGAGCCCTAACCTTAGGGTTTCTTAGAGGAATTCCCCCCCCCCGCTTTGACCACCCCCTTTTAGGGACACTCCTTGATCCTCGAATCCCCCCCCCCCCCTCGCGGACCCCCCTGAAGGGACACTCCATGTCCTCCTGGGGGCCCTCAAAAGGTTGTTGGTTTCCTGAGGCTACCGCAACAGCCCCGTGATGCACCCCTCCGTGCCCGCCACCTTCAAGCCGATGCTCTTCAAAAACGGCGAGCAGATCGCCTTTCCAGTCGCCCGGAGACAAGATCCAGCAAATGGGTGTGTGTGTGTTGTTTCTTTTGGGGTGGTATATTCAAAGCAAACCACTAGTGAAACCATGTAGTTGTTGTTTTGTTTTGGGGGGGATCACCCTGTTTTGACGTGGGACCCCTCAGTATTGGTGATTTTATGTTGTTTTCCATTGTAATCCCAACAACAGTACCATTAAAGAAAGAGAGGCACCCCCACATCCCAAAACGATACCCCCAAGCGAAATTGTGGGGAACCTTCCGACAAAGAATAATTAGACAAATGATAATTAAGTTTTGCTTGAGCCTTTTCTTGAGGGTTTCCCTTACTGGGTTTGGCTTTAGGGTGTATTGCTGAAACCCTGGCAGGGAACTACTTAGCGCTGGTCATGGGCCAACCAAGTAGTCCGCTTCTTGGGGTTGTGATTCAGGGTTGTTTAGGGTTGGTGTGCCGGGGAGCGGGGGGGGGGGGGGCTAGGTGGCCAGGTGCAATGTGTTTTTTGAAATAGGGGTGAGACGGTCTGGAGTTGCCAATCTGTTTTGGCAACAGAAAAGAGCATTTCGCCAACTGTGTTGTGTACTAAGCGTGTGAGAGAAGATGATTATGCGTCACAGAGCAGATCCTATTTGAAGACTGGTGCGTGCCATATTGATTGAGACCCGTGCGGCGGGCAGCTGTACGACTGGCTGCTAAATGGCCAATAGTTGAAAGCACTTTTCCCAGCGGGAAATCCACAGGGGGCGGGGGCAATTATGTCTGCCCAGACTCTCCATGACCCTTGAAAAATGGGGTCATTAGCCAAAAGAAAGGGGTCACAACCCCATCTTTTGCAGGGTCATGGAGAGTCTCAGAATACGTTTTTCCCCCTGTTGGCTTTAAAGGGAATCTATCACTACTGGACATACTTTTTGGGTCAGGGGTCCTAGCCAATTGGAAGTTATTTGTTTTCCCCAACCCCTGTGTCTTCAGCATCCCGTCCACTGGGCCCAGCTCTTGCCGGATCCCGGGTTCGTTCGGGGCGGCGCCCTGAGGCGCCCACGAAGACGGTGCGCCCCCCGCGGCTGCGGAAGAAGGCGCTCTGAGGCCCTGGGGGGGTTTGGTCGAACGAGGGGGGTGACTTGTCTTGGGGGTGGCCCTTTTGTGGATGGCTTTACAGGGACAAGAGGGAGGTCCGACAAACAGAAAAGAACAACACATTGCGGATGAACAACAAGAAGAGAGGTCCGCGTGGGTCTTGCTTTGAGTGTATTCCTTTGAGGTTCAAGGGATACGGAAGGGACACCTTTTTGGCTTCCCCCCGTTTGAGCCAAGTCCAGATATTGCGAGCAGGGAGCTGTACGCAAAGCCTGCATTCTCAGGAATTGCGCGGACCAACTTGCAACCACTGTGGATGGACAAAATCCTGCACCACGTTGAAGCCATGGGAAACCATTATTTGTTGGTATTTACAGGTTAATCAAATCATTCCAGGGTTTCTTAGGCGGTGCAGGATTTCGTGCATGCACAGTAGGCATCGCCTGCACCTTTGGCCCCTTTGCTTCAGGAAACAGAGGGACCTTCAGTGGAATTCAAGAGCGCGTCTGCACTTTGCTCGATCGCTATGGAAGGGGCGCAGGTATGGTTCGGCAATGTCAAGTGTCACCCCGATGTTCTCGCATAAGTTCAGTGGTGCCTTTCTTTTTCTTCGCGGGTTTCCTTTGAAAATCAATAATAAACTTCCCTCAAAGACAGAGATTGAATTTCAGTGGTGCCATGGCTTCCCATGTACTTCACGACCCCAACAAGAAGTGTGCCTTTTTGTTTCCCCCATGGCCCATGGACCACTGGAAGCCGGGTGATCCGACATCTCCGGAGAGAAAAACAAAAACGGGCGCCTGAATCGGCGCTTTCCGATTCGTTTAGCCGTGTGGCCAAGCAAGGGGCTGTTCAAAGCGCGAGATGTTTTCTCAGCCAGGGAAAAGGTTGTAATCCTCCATTTGTTTAATATTTGTTACTTTTCACCTGTTGTTTTTTAAAGAGAATCTATCACTATTGGGATTATTTTCTTGTTGCCTTGGGAAAAGGTTATGCTCCTCACTTGCAAGCGAATCGACCTGAAATGGGAGCATTTGGTTTTCCCAGGTTGGGTTCCCATTTTGAGTGATCCCAAAAGGTGTTCACCTTTTATATCCTTTGGGCAAGTCAGAATCAAGCTGGGTCAACGTTTGAGGCCATACAATTTGTGGCCGAGCCTTATGAGCTAGCTCATGAACAAAGATGGCTGTGGTTGTCAAAACCCAGGAACCCCCCTGATGAACATCAACATAGGTGGCAAATGGATGTTCATCCACCCCAATTGGATCGCCATAGGTTCTGCCGCATGGCCAGATCATACTCTGGATGGTTGCTTGCATCCATGTCAAACCGCTTTGAAACCAGGGACGGGTTTGAAATTCAAGCTGGGCGAAGGTCTGAGATTTGATTTTTGGTTTGGCTTTAAAATAGTTGGTGGTGTGACTAAATTTTAGGGGACCCTCACCCGAAACACTATGATACATGTGGGTTTCCTCTTTGAAACCACACAGAAAGGGGTAGCCTAAAACAAGACACCCCATGAACAAAGAGAATAGGCTAATCCTAGGGGTGAACATTGACCAAGGTACAGCACTTCACCTTCTCAGGCCCCTTTCAAAGAGCCCTTTGACGCTTGTTCAGTGCCCTTTTCTGGACAGCGTGGTGGTTTACAGTAGGACCTACAGCCTTCAACGCGCTCATACTTTCAACGCGTTTCTTTGTTTGGCAGTTGGACTTTGCTTGAGTATGCGGAAAGTTCCAAGCGAGCTGCCAACTAGGCACCTCGGACTTGGGCTCCTTGCAAACCAAGTGGCCGGAGGTTTCCAGCACCCCTCCCAACCCATTGGCGCCTGAAAGGTCCTGTTCGCCCTTACGCTTCTTTTGGGGACCAGCACGAGGGCATCGGGGACCGATGCGGCACTTTTCAAGAGCCCACAGGGTTGGGCAGTTTGAACTCGACCCTGGGCCGCTCCAAAGGGAAGGCAAAAGGACTTGTTTTGATCAATTGGTGTTCAACCATCGTTTGATTCAACCAGGGGTACAGCCCACCCTGCACTGGGCATCATTTTTCTGCATGCCGGAGGATTGCAAAGAACGAGGGTGAACGGAGGGGTTTTGGTTTGTTCTAAACGTGCCTCTTTCAAAAGATTCTACACCTTTCAAAATCAATGTGCGATCCATGATGCTACCCATTGTCCGTCAAAAAGGCCATCCCGCACGCCCGGCCACCCAAAAAACAAGAAGAAGCAAAAAAGCAGCTGCCAGCAAAAAGTCCTGTCTGCTTGGTTGATCCCAACGAAAATGAGAGGGCTAAGTCCTCTGGCAGAATTCGCTTCGCTCCGAAGAAATGGAGGCATTTGTGCAATGGCAGATCTCGCACCTCTTGGCCTCTTGGGCCCGTCCTGGATTCTTGATAGGGTACGTAGATCTTAAATGCCTTGTTTTATTGATAGGGTACGTATGGCCATGGGTCAAAACCAATGGTACCATTTTGGGGTAGGTGCACCACCAATTTTAGATCATTTTAGTCTATTTTAGTGGGGATTGGGATGTTCACCGGGGGTACAGGATTTTGACCCATGGCCATATTATATCTTAAACACCTTGCTTCAGGTACATGCATCGGACAAATAGCTGGTTTAATTTTCTCCAACTCGTCTCCACGAACTCAGATAACCTTACAATCCCAGGTGACTGAATGTGGACCAGAATCCAACGCAGTCAGATTCCATGCAAGTCATATGAGCCACAGTGCTCCACCTGGCTTTTCATAGACCACTTTGCAGGTTTTGATTGCGGCTGTCCCATGTGGGTCATGCGGGGGTGTCTTTCTTTAAGGGTACCCCTTTTTGCCTGTTTCTTAAGGGAAACCAAAGGAACACCTCTTTTTCTTCTGGGGAGGGTGTTCCCGAAAAAGACACACACCCACATACCTTTACTAGAATTCATGACCCACACACCGTGCTTTTCTTTTGGGACCCATAGCCCAAATCTATACTTAGGCCAATGGCTAAATTGCCCATAAGCGGGGTGGACGAAATCCTGCACCACCTAAAACACCCTGGAGTGATATTTCCCCAAACACATAATTCATTTTCCCATGGTTTCAAAGTGGTGCAGGTTTACATCCATTCACAGTACCCGGGGCCCAGTCTTCTTTTTGTTTCCTTTTCGGGCAAACCATGGAATGTCTAGTCCAGGTAAATTCTTTCGATACACTCTCGATGCGCAAGAACTACGGATGGATGGTAGCCATGGGTTTCATGGGTTTCAGCCGTCAACTAATGTTGACCCCGATCCAATCAACTCCTGCTGATTCATATATGGGGGTGTCCCTGGTTTTAGTGGAGGGTTTCACTTTGGAGGAGCCAAAGCCACCCACATATTAATAAACAGGGGTTCTAGATCCAAAGTGAAGATGACAAGTTTGGCGTGAAGATGGGTGAATTGTCCACGGGGTTTGGGCGAATTTGGGATTGAACTTGTGCAAGAGTCGAGAAGTGTCCAAGGGTTATGTTTGTTTGAATAATCAGGACAAGAGCAGTGAGGGGGCAAAAAGCGATAGCTGCCCTTTGGCTAAGCTCAAGGTCCTTCGTATGCTAGGCTTCTAGCTGACTTCGCCGGAAGCAAGCGGTTGCCCGGAATTGGGGCAGGGTAGAACCGTGGAATCTTTGAGCTCCAGGTTGCCTTTGTGTGCAACAAAAGCACCCGTAGCTGTGAAAGAAAAAGGGACAGTTGATTGACGAACAACGCTTTTTGGACAGTACTTGGGATTTTGGACATGGTTGAAACAGCAGTTGTTGGGGGGTGCATTGTTGATGTTGTTCCGGACCCTAATTCAAAACCCGTCCATGCACCCTTGGGAGACTGAGGGCTCACCTTTCAGGAAGGCAGTGTCGGCTAATGTTGCTATCTTTTTTCTTTGGATTTCCGTCCAAAGTCAGCAGCAAGCAACAAGTCGTCCGGTCTTACCCTTGGCTGGGCAAGATTGATTATTCACAGTACCTCAGAAGCTTAGCAGTAGCTTCGCTCATGGCACCAGCAAGTCAAGCTGCTCTATCTTGTCATCCTATTGCTTTATTCAGAAGCATTTAGTGCAGCGCAAAGCGTGGGCAAGCTCCAGCTCGAAGTGAGACCCAACCCAGTTGCCTGGAGGTTGTTCAAAGAATATTTTACAGCGTGTTCAAACAAGGGGCTCGTTGTTTAAGAAGTGCTGGGGTGCCGATATGTTTTCCTTTTTTTGACATATTTTACACAGCACGGCTGAAGTCAAGTGAGTTTACCACGATTTTGTCACGCATCATATAGCTATATAAACCAAGAAAGCTTGTAAGCTCACTCATCAAGCCCGCTGTTGTGACTCTGCGGCTGCTGTGTCAAACTGGACATCGCTGGGCGGCTTGTCGACAATCGGGAAAGCTGGTTAAACTTGAGTGCCGCCGAAGGATGTCTCCAAAATGAGATCATGATTTCAACCCTCCAAGTGCCTTTTCTTCTACCCTGCTTCCCAAGTAGAAAGCTCAAAAAGAGGCTCTCGAAGAATTTGCCCAGAGCGCGAATCCGGCGCTCAGCGGCACAAACAGAGCGCGATTCGGTGCTCAGGGAAGAAACGCTGGGCATGGAGCAGACAGAGCGGAGGGTGGATCGGAAACCCTTTGACATGCTCGACGGTCAATATTTGCAGTCATACCATCTACTGTGGCCGAGGGAATGGCTTTGGGTGCACTGACCAAACAAAGAGTAGGAAATGGGCGTGAACTGAAGGAAGGGAGGTATGCGATCTCATGAGGAAGATTTCTGTTTTGGGGGTCCCTCACTTTAGAAGGCTTTCTGGTGATTGCAATGGTGCCTCAAGTGGATGCCACTGCAAGCGGAAACCACTTTTATGCTTCTCACGGTTTTTTCCCCGAATGTAATGGACTTGCACAACCCCCCTGTCACTTCCCTGCCCCCTCGCACCCCCCTGTCACCCCCCCACCCCCCTGCCACCCCCCTGTCCCACCCCCTGGTATCTTGATCCAAAGCGACA